TTGTAACTGGAGACAGCTGCCCATACTCTCTCCAACAGAGCAACTTAAGGATTTACTTGAAAGAATCCGGCAGTACATTTGGTCTACCACAGTCCACCCTTTGTGCAATATAAATCTTCTCCATATAAGTTCAGGGAGCAGCTCTTCCAGAATTCCAGTGGATAACTCTTTCAAGAATAAATATAAAGGAAGGAGGTAGTGAGACAAACCACTGTCTTTGCTGCTACATTTGATTTCAGGGCTGCTTTCTATATTTATTGTCTTACTCATTCATTACTAATTCTACATTTTCCTCACCATCAGCTTGTCCTTGATAGCTTACTTGGTGGCATGACCCAGACCATACTAATCTCTGGGGCCTGAACTTCATGTCACTATGTCTTTCTTAGGCCAGGTTCACTGTATTTGTCTATTTACATGCACAATTGGGCAAAGAAGTATAAAGAAGTGCCACATGGATCATCTAGATTACACACATCCTCCTCCCTGCCTTCACTGTATCGCAGCACTCTTTCTCCCCCTAATGAACAGGATCAATTACCCCTGCCAATCAGGACACCTCCATGTCCTGATTTTATTGACTTTTTCCTTCAATGTACCTGAACATTTGGCCAGAAAATTCATCGTTGTTTATATATATAAAATATAATATATATGAACATCTATATTATAATATATATTATAACCAGATTTGCTGCCTCTTCCACTGGTAGCTTTCCAATTCACCACCAATGACAATTCTAACAATTGGATGCCTACTTTGGGCAAGGGGCTATGTTCCTTCTGCCATCCGACTCCTCAATGTCAGCTCCCAAATCCCATCTTATTGCTTGCTTGCTGGACCACTACCAATACCAATGTTCACAGGTTGGGGGTCTCTGGAAGCAGACACTGAGATGGAGGTCAAAAGCAAGTTGTTCATTAGGAATCAATACTTGTGAAGGGAAGGGGGAAGAAGCCATATTTGCCAGAGGAAGAAGTTACATTGCAAGATAGAGCTGATGTAATCTTAACAACTCTGCAGGGAGCACTTGAGTGAGTATAGCCCATCATAATATACCATCTTTGGGTCAAAATAGCTTTCTTTCTTTCTTTTTAAAAATCCCTGTTGTTGAGAGTATTAAATATGTCCCCTTTTCTCCACATTGACCTCTTGTAGCCCAACCCTGCCCCCTACCCCCAGCCTTAAATAGCTTTCCTTTATACCATTACCTCGCTTAGTCTCCAGCCTGTCCCCTCAATCACATGACTTTAGACTAGGAGGCCCTTCCCCTGTGGCCAACCAGAAAGGATCTGAAAGCTGTGGATGGAGTCTCACCACACTCCCTTCAGCTGGTCAGTAAGTTTTTGAAGGGGGTTGGTGGTACATATCCGCTTCTATGGCAGCTATGCCTGGCAGAGAAAGGTTTCTGTTGACAAGGAAGAAAAGGGAATATTTGGTGAAGATGGTGAAGATAGTGAAGATGGGAATTTTTTCCCCACAAATTCAAAGCTCAAGACCATAAAATCAAGGTCTAAGAGAAGTAATAGGGTGGAAATTTGAGTGAGGGGAAAGGAAATCCAGAACCAATGAGCATTAAAACACTGGAGAAGAAAAATAAGAGAGGTTTACACTTTGGAGGTTGATGAGCAAAACAAGTATGGGAGCATTGCCTGCTGTGCCTCTAAGCCAGGGGTGGGCAAACTTTTTGACTCGAGGGCCACAATGGGTTCTTAAACTGGACTGGAGGGCCGGAACAAAAGCATGGATGGAGTGTTTGTGTGAACTAATATAAATTCAAAGTAAACATCATTACATAAAAGGGTACGGTCTTTTTTTTTTTTTAGTTTTATTCATTTCAAACGGGCCGGATCCGGCCTGCGGGCCGTAGTTTGCCCACGGCATCTGGCCTCACTGGTTTTAGTTGCAGTCTTAAAGGAAGGTGTGGCAGTTGTTTGTGGAGTTGCACCTTCTATTTCCCCCCTGATTGGGAAAAGTAAGTGGTGGCAATGAGTAGCTGCAAATGAGCCAATGATTCCTGGTCCTGCATGATATTTTAAACTCAGGTCTGGGTGCTAATGTTTCTGTGTCCATATTTTAATCCTCTTAGCTGACTTAGAAAGACTTAAGTCTGAGACTTAACAGAGCCTGTCAGAGCAGATGGGATAATGTAGAAAAGGTTTGCCATTCTCAAATACAAGATATGCCAGTTCTCTAGACTCTTAATTTTGACACAGGGATTAACAGCTCTTACTTAGGTCAGCAACTAATTCATCAGAATTAAGATGAATGAACAGGTGCACTTTTCTGTGTAATAGAAATGTTGGTAATAAAACTGTTTGCATGCACTCACCAGAAACTGAGACCACTTGACTATTTGACTATTTGCCACGAAGCTTCTGGCCTGAAAAGGGTTTTCCTTCCTTCTTTAAAATCTTAGGATATAAAATATTATATATACCTATTTATATACTTCTAAAAGTAAAACAGTATTGTGTTCTATAAATTTCCATTTTTAAATTAACAACATATAATTTATGACTTCCTATGTCAATAAATTATATCTAAATTATCATTTTTAATGTTTTTGTCATAATTCATTTAACAAATCCTCTGCATTTGTGCAGTTATTTTAGTTTTTAATTCTGTATTTTTAAAAAAATTTTTTGGTGAATCTCCTAATTCCTCTTATGCTTAGGGACCTACACAGTAATTTATTTCCATTAAATTCCTAGAAGTTGAGTAATTGAGTCAAAACATCTAAATACATTTTAAGTTAGAGATTTACTCTCCAAGAAAGCAATGTGAATTTATCACTAAGAAAAGGACATGTAAGAATATCTCACCACTATTGCATTTAATCATTTGTTCATCTTTGTCAATCTCACAGTGGAAAATTATATCACCTTTTAAAGTGTATTCTTTTATTATTAACAAATTTGGCTATTTTGCCATGAGTTTATTGGAGATTTCATTTATTTGTGAAGTTGTTCATTTATTCATGAAGTTGCTTCCTCATGTGCTTAGCCCATTTCTCTCTATATATGTTTGTCCTTTTTTTTTTTTTTTAAGCATTTATATATCAAGGACATTTTCTCTTATATCTTTTTTCAATATTTTTTTTTAATGTAAAAGCTTATATTTTAGGTCAACCTTTTAGAAATTGAATGTTTCAAATTCAAACCAAGTTTTCTTTCTTGTTCTTAGCTATATCCTCATGCTTAAAAAGACTTGCCATGTTTTAACGTAAGTACTCAGTTATATTTTCTTCTAGTACTTTTATAGTCATTTCTTCATAGTAAAAATTTTAATACATATGAAGTTTATGTTAGTGCCAGATTTCAAGAAAATGTTGGATGCTGGGGTCCAACCCCAGCGGGTCCAAGGGTTTCCAAAGGCGTGGATGGAGTCGGCGAAGAAGGAATGACACGAAGACAGTGTTCAGTTGATCAGCAGCCTAGCCAGGATCTCCAGCCAGGGTCTCCAGCCAAGTTCTGGTCTGGATCTCCAGAGAGGTTCTGCTTAGGATCTCCAGCCAGGTTCTGTGTTCATGTTCTCTTGCTAGGTTCTCCAGGTTCTCCAGCCAGGTTCTGTAGCCATGTTCCCTCGCTAGGTTCTCCAGCCAGGTTCTGCCCAGGTTCTCCAGCCAGGTTCAGTCACCAGGCTCTAGTCAGGTTCTCTTGCCAATTTCTGTAGTCAGGTTCAGTCCAGGATCTTTTGCCATGTTCTCTCCAGCGAAGTTCTTCTGTCTCTAGATTCTGTGTAGGTTCTGTGTCTAGGTTCTGAGTTCTAAGTTCTGTGTCTTGCTGTCTTGTTACATCTGTATTTATACCAGTTGATTCAATCCTATCAATCTCTATTACAAAGGTTAGGGCGTTTCTATCTCCATTCCAGGGAGTAAAGATTATGTAGCTTAAGCATGATTATTCATAGTTAAAGTGATTAATTACCCGCCTGGCACTTAGTTAAGAGGTTTTATTCCCTCCTTAACTTCAGGGGAAAATCCCTACCTGGGGAAACAACCTTTCTTAGAGAGGTGACCTTGGTTAAAACACATAGTGCCAAGAAGGTGAGCAAACATATTAAGAACAGTATGCCATGTATGCCAGGTCCCTTGAAACAACAAGCATGGACCGGCTCCCAGCAGTTGGATGTACTTGTTTTTCAATTAGGGAGGCACTTGACACAGTAGCATTTTATGAAGAATTTATTCTTTCTCATTGATATATACTTAGTATGATGCTGGCCTTTGAATACTCATATTAATCTGTATATATATTCCACCCTTACAATCATACTTCTTTAATTTTTATAGCTGTATGGTAATTTAATATCGTAGACAATGTTTTTTAATGCATTTTTTCATATTAAGTATCTAATTAAATTTACAAAAAGTTTGAAATTTTTGAAAATTATAACTAAAAGTAGCTTAAGCAAAAAATGTAAGCTCTTGAATCCAAGAAAGGTTTTGAAGGTTTACTTTGAGAAAAACATTAAGACAGCTAGACCTTAATGACAAGGGAAACTGGAGAGAAATGCTGGTAATGCTTTCCCTCCAACTCATGGTTCTGCCTCGCTAGACACATTTGACTTACTCTGTCTCTATTCTTATTCTCATGGTGGGAAACATGGAAGTTAGTAGCTCAAGACTTTTAAGGTCTCTCAATTTTTATCTCTGGGTTATGGGAATATTCTGAAAAAGGACACATGTAGTCAGCTTACATTAGGCATCCACTATTTTATTTAATTTAATTTTATTATATTTTATTTTATTTTATATTTTATATATATATATATATTTAAATATATTTTATTGATTTTTTACAGAGAGGAAGGGAGAGAGATAGAGAGTCAGAAACATCGATGAGAGAGAAACATCGATCAGCCGCCTCCTGCACATCCCCCACCGGGGATGTGCCCGCAACCCAGGTACATGCCCTTGACCGGAACCGAACCTGGGACCCTTCAGTCCGCAGGCCGACGCTCTAGCCACTGAGCCAAATCGGTTTCGGCTATATTTTATATTTTTTAGCGCTTCGCGAATTTGGGTGTCATCCTTGCACAGGGGCCATGCTAATCTTCTCTGTATCATTCCAATTTTAGTATATGTGCTGAAGCAAGCACAGGCATCCACTATTTTATATGGTCCATGCAGGAAGTACCTGGGAAGACTAGTACTCTTTGCAGGAAATTTTGTAATGATTACTGGAATGCATTAGTAGATTTGCAAATTATGCACAAATTGTTTTTGAAGTTATGGATAAATTGTGTTTGATGAATATTTTAACAAAGAGAATGCAAAATGATAATGGTTTGGTTTTCTCTTGTTTTAATGATGTAATGAATATTGGTTTGCTGTTGGAAAAGTAGATCTACATGAAAGGCTTAAATGTCTGAAGTACATGCTTAGTATTCGTTATAAAGAATATTTTTTGAGCCTGGCTGGCATGGCTCAATGATTGAGTGTCGACCCATGAACCAGGAGGTCACAGTTCACAGGGTTGTGGGCTTGATTCCCAGTGTGGGGCGTGCAAAGGACAGCTGATTGATGATTTTCTCTCATCATTGATGTTTCTCTCTCTCTCTCCCTCTTCCTTCCTCTCTGAAATACATCATTAAAAATATATTTTTAAAAAGAATATTTTTGAATTGTGTGGATTTAGTTTGAAATCCAGAAGTTTTTTATGATAATGGGCAACCATGACCTGGCCACATCAGTAGGCCTCCAAATTCTACTTGTAGTAGAGAAAACACCCCCTACATATAAAACTGGAATATAGGAGGAGAAAATAAGTGGTTCTTTTAGTATTTTATTAATTATTATTATTTAATATAACAAGCGAGAAAATTCAATTTTATTTAAATTATCCCAAAGAGTTAGCTTTAATCCTGACTCCCATTTTACTACCTATTCCATGAACTGTTTACCTTCAGCAAGTCCCTTTATGTAGCTCTCATTTATTCACAGTCTGTTTTTATCTTTTCCCTTAAATTGTTGATCTCATGTCCTAACCTGTCAGCTTCATTAGGTCACAAAAGAGAAGTTCCTAATTTTAAGCTCAAATTGTCAGTTCTTGTATGGATTAGGCTTTTGGTGTCTAAAGGAATCTTTGATAACCCAAGAGTACAAAATTTTCTCATAGAAATTTTTATAGTTTTAGGTTTTACATTTAAGTCTATGATCCATTTTGAGTTCATGTTCTGATGGTGCTAGATATGAATCAAAGTTCATTTTCTTGCATATGGATTTTCAAATGTTGCTTATTTGTTGAAAAATCTAATTGCCTTTGCATCTTTGTTAAAAAACATTTGTTTATAAAAGTATGGGTCTATTTATGGGCAGTCTGTTCTGCTCCATTGATATATTTGTCTACTTGATGCCAATGCCATACTTAAATTACTGTATCTTTGATTATCATAGCTTCATAATAAGTTTTGAAATAAGGTAGTATGAGTGCTTCAATTTGGTTCTTTTTCAAGTTGTTTTGGCTATTTCATGTTCTTTATATTTCTATGTAAGTTTTATAATGTTTGTTAAATCCCAGCTTAAAAAAAAAAAAAAAAAAAGGAAAAAAAAAATCAAAGGAAAAATTTTGTTGAGATTTTGATATGATTGTGAATTATAGATCAATTTCAGGGGACCTGACATATTAGTGTTAAACCTTTTGACTCATGAATGAGGTATCTATCTTTACTTTCATCCAGAAATATGTACATATTTTAGTTTTTAGTGTCCAAGAGTTAATGTCTACGCATTTTTTAAAAAATCTGTAACAAATACCATTAAAGAAAATACGGTCATAACACCAATATCAAAACCTTAACTCTTCTTCCATAATTCTCTAAAAATATATCTATTTGGCTGAAATGCATGCTTAGTTTTTTGGAGGTATTTCTACTGTTTTTAAAAGTATTTCTGTCAATATGTTTTTGTCCTAACATATTAACCATTTTCTTATCCTTAAATTCTATAGCATTTCACACAGACCATTTCTTGAGAATTGTAACACACTAACTATACACTTCTAATTTATCTTTACATCACATATTGAATGAAGTTAAATTCAAGAACCTGGTAGTTAAATAGTTTAACAATTTTTTCAGCTTCACAGCTAGTCATCAACCAAAGCAAGTGTAGAAGTATGATATCTTTGAATTGTAGGGACCCATGACTATATTCTAGGAAATTAGCTTTTATTTCCCCCCTTACTTTTTAAGAACCATAAAATTGGGCTTTAAACAATGTTCTATGTACATATAATCAGTATTCTAGAAAATATAACAACATTTCTAAATATCGTATCAATACTTCATTTCAAGTATAATTGTCAAAAGGCACAGGAACCTGTCTTTGTAGCCCAAATCTTATAACTCTTTAGATCTGTGTGCTCTTTGCACTCTAGCACTGAAATAAATGAAGCATATTTCTCTATATGCTTTGCAGTTCCAGCATTATAAAGGAAAACTTTTTCTCAGTGGTTCTCAGAGGTTGTCACTTAAAAAGCCTGTAAAAATTAGCATCTTATTTATCAAAGAGTAAAGCCTCAGGTTAAAGCCCAAGGTGGTTCTGAAGGGATTGATATAAATTGTGTAATCATCCCACAACATTTGTTCCTCCCCACCCCCGATAAATAAGATAAATTGAAATGGATTCTAACTAGTGGTTGATTCATTTAAACTAGGTAAATACCATAGATTTCAAGGGATTTCAACACATATTTGTAGCATTGAGCTTCTTCAGAGGTATAGTTTCAGCAATTAAATGCAGTTGAATATTTTAATAGGCCTTATATTTCTAATATTATACCATTATGCATTGGTATAGATTAAATTCTCCTCACCAGAAATGCTTTCTATTGTATAAATTTTAAGGTAAATACCATTTTAGGTTGCAGCATCTTCTGATGATTTTGAAGGCAATATAGATCTCATCTTTAATGCAGAAAACGACTGTTACTATGAATTGACTAAGCTTTTTGTTGTCAAAGTTATTGCTATTTTTACACCACCTTGGTATGCCAGTAAATGTTTTTCACTTCATTATCAAGCCCAGGCCTTTATAATATCGCCTAATACAGGATGAAAATATTTGTCCACTTTTGGTTTGGATGGTTTTCAGCATGAATGATTGTGGGGAATCAAATGTAGTTGTAAAAGGTGTTTTCACTGATGAACAAGACTGAAGTCTATTTAAAGATGAATTAAAATTTATCAAGTATTTTAAAAATATGAAATAATGTTTTCAGCATTCATCTTATTTTGGACTTAAGGATTTACTAAGTTGGATGGTTTTTATGTTGCTTTTACTAAGTTAGAAATAAATGTTTTAAATATATGGCATAAAAGTTACCTCTAAAAGACCTAACTGACCTATTATTAAAGAAACTTATTTTTAATAATTAGACACTGCATTTGTTTACATGGATACTTCAGAGTTCCTCTGAAAAACTAAATTCCCACATTCTTGCTTTCCTAAAAACACTGATGGACTTGTTCTAGCCAGCCTTGAGTTTCTTTCTAAATTGCTTTCAGGGCAAATGACTTGAATCACTGTGTGTTGTTCAGGTTGATAGTATATGATGATTTAACTCTCAGAACTCCAGTGCTGTGTACTTTGGCTCTACTCCAAGTCACCATGAGATACACATAGGGCATACTTTGTCTTTGCTGAAATCATGAAAACACTGCAATTTCAGATTATGTCCTGTATGCTCCAAAATAATAAACCGCCCTATCTATTACCTTTACTCATGAGCCAATAAAGTGCTCCCCATGGTTCCTTTAAAACTAAATTGGGAATGTGTCCTATCAGTGAATATTCATATTAATGTGTGGATTTGTGTCCTGTTGTTACATTCATTTTAAAAGTGGATTTTCACAGAGAACTAGCAATGTTTCTATGTGAAATTTAGCTCTAATTTCATGTTGATAATTCTTCCTGCCTCTATTTTTTTCTTTGAGCGTGTAAAATTGAACACACAATTACTTATTTGTACTCAAGTTAATAAGTAGAGTTTCAAGCCAATAGCTTCCAGTATAAGTAAAACAGTCTCTTTTGTGAGCATTTGAAGCCAAATTACATGAAAAGTAAAATTTAAGATTAACCAATGTTTGGAAGCACTTTTAAAAGAATCTCACAGCTACATTTACAACTATGGAGTTTAAACCAAAGGATATTCTTTGCTGGAGGAGATTTGGGAGATAAGAATACATAAAGCATCAGTGGCAAATCAGTTTAACATAAAGTTTCAAAATGTTTAAATTCAGTGTAATGGATTTTTTTAGTCTACAGAATACCAAATAGTCTAAAAAATTATTTCATGATACTTCCCCAATGTTTCAGTAGTGAAACAACCAGGGAATAAGAAATTGTTACGTTTGAAATTTAAAAAATTGAACTGAATATATTAGCAATTGGAACAAAATAAATAGATAAATATTTCTGTTTTTTTAAGTTTTAAAAGTTTATTTGAGCAAGAATCAATTTGAACTGGAAATGATTAGAAGTGTTCCCAAGGTAAGTATTTCTAATTTTCTATTTAGAATTGCTTATATATACTTAACAACATTTTATAGCTATAATACTTAATCTATTTTGGATTTCATATTTTAAAACTATCCTAACATCATTAGGCATATGTAGATATTTGTGTGTGTGTGTGTGTGTGTGTGTGTGTGTGTGTGTGTAACATAGATATCAGATATCTCTTAATTGCTTATTTCAAAAATTAACTCAAAAAAACTTAAAATATAATGTGTTTTAAAATATGTGTTTTGATGAATAATAACCTATGCATTTGTATATGTTTATATACATGTAATATACATGCTTTGTTTCAGAGGATTTTCTAATAATGCGAATTTTGTAATCAAAGAAAACATGATAATTTCAAGAGAAACATCAAAAGTGCTTTATTCAAAGTAATGTCCATCGCTAGCTACTCATTTCCCCCATCTTTCAGATAATTTGTAGATACCATCCCAATAGAACTTTTCTTGTTTTGAGGCAAACCATTCAGAGACCCAATTTTCCACTTCTGCATACGTTTGAAGTGCTGCTCAGAAAGTGCGTGTGCCATCGATCAGAACAAGTGGTGATCTGAAAGAGCAAGGTCTGGTGAATA